ATAAGTACAACAATACTAAAAAACTGTCTCTTTGTTTCTCTAGTGTTCTCTAGAATGTTGACTTAGAGTTCTCTGAACCCCAGCCCACTCTAGGGCTCTCTAAATTCTTTTAGAAAGCAGGGCTGTGATAGGTGTGATTAAGATGATTTTTCCTAAATTTTATTAAAAGCTAAAGCATCCAAAAGACGCCTACCCTAACCCTTGACAATGACAATACAAAAGAGTAACATTTTTAGCTTTAAGAGCGATGATAGAGATACTCTTAATATATGAATCCAATGACAACACTATATGTTTGTAATTCTATCCCGATCGGTTGTTACATTTTTTCCCTTTCTCATTTTTGCCATTGGCCAAACAAATACGAGAGCACCAAATGGATCTTCTGTTTTTTTTTTTTAATACAGATGGAGCTTCTAATTTTCCTTTGGAAGGATTAAATAAATAAATAATAGCATAAGGAAAAATATTAGCTAGAAAAAGTAAACATTTGGGGCCTCCCTCCCGCACCGAGTCATATATCACATATGCTATTCTCGAGTAAGGACTTATACAAGCAAATATATAAGGTCACATTTTGTAATCTCGCTCGGCACGACACAACACAAATTCCACTTTTTTTAAAGACTTGGGTTCACATATTTTAAAAATATGCTATTTTTACAACTGCGTACCATCAATGTTGCAATCGAGTATCCGTCCATGCTCAACAAGAAATTAAGGAAACAAATAATGGGTAGCTAGCGTGGAGGTGAGAGTGTTTTACAATTTGATTTGAGCTCATTTTAACTACTTCACCTGCCCAACTAACCCGAGCCCTTAACTCCGCCGCATGAGGAATGTTCAAGTTGAGATGGATGGGCAAGCTGCCATTGAACATGGTCTCCAAGGAGCCTGCCGATCATCTCCACCTTAGTAGCCCCTCTCATTCTCGATCACATGTGATAATCATCTTGCACCTCATACTTCAACGCTTAAAGGTCCGAGAAATACGGAGTTTACAGTGATAAATGGTCAAAAATAGCCTGATGGATGAACGCGGATTGAACAAATTAAACTATCTTGAAAATCTTTCTTTTTTGATTGATTGTTTTATTGATTTTTTTTTTTCTTTTGAGTTTTTTGTATTTTGCATCCCGAAATATGTCTCAAAAGATTATTTTTTTCACATTACACTCTGAATGTCATAAATTGGTCTAATGTAACCCTCGAATTAACATTCATTTCAGAGTGAGATTACGTTGGAACAAATTTATTACATTTAGTATGCGAGAAAATTAATATTTTAAGGCACAAAGTGAGAATTAAGACATATTTCGGAGTAAAAAAATGCTAAAAACCCTTTTCTTTTTTTTTTTAAGAAATTACTCTCATCAAACCCCTTGCATTTCCAAGACCAAAAAAAAAAAAAAAAAACCCTCGCATTTCGTGTTTTTTAGGCTGCTAACAGAGGCTTTATGTTGTAGTATAAAGTAAAATGACAAATGTGTCAGAGTAACTCCAACCTTGACCTTTTTGTGGTCAAAAATCTTTCTACTAATATTCATACTCATATCAAATTAAGAGAAATTCAAATTTAATATCTTTTCCCCAACGATCATAATTCTCTTCTTCTCTAATCACTACTCTTGTCTCGGCAATGTTCTCCACTTCCCCAAAAAATGTGTTTATCTATTAAAGAGACACGTAGCAAATTATATTTTTTTACTCTTTTTCTTTAAATAAATTTAAGTAAAAGTATGGGTTACCATTGGAGATGGTCTTTACAACAAATGGATGCATAGTACGGCTTCCAACCACCATGAATTGGCATGGCTCTTCATTACTTTTGTGTGCCAAATAATAATCAGAAAGGTAAGTGTTGTTAGGGTATAAGCCAAAAACCAATTATGTTTAAGCTTTATATTCTGGTTGTTAGCCAATTTAATTAGTATTTTTCTCATTGAGTAATGTTATGTAACCTAAATTTGTATTTCAAATAAAGAGGATCATTGGATCAGTAATTTCTATTTAAAAAAATTGATAAGACTAACTCATTAATGGTCCCCCTTCATTTAAAATATAAATTTAGGTTACAAATTTGAAATAAATAGTATTTTCCTTTCCTCTATATAACTACTTTTTCGCTATGATTACTTGTTGAAATGAAACGGCTCAAAATTAAAAGATACGGCAATTCTTTAACTAACCTTGATAGGTCATAGAAGTAATGGAATAGGCAATGATCCAAGTCATAAGAGTGATGGGAAGAAAAAAAAGGCATGAGATACGGCTTTTTTTAGGGGGAAAACCAATGAATTAGAGAGACGTGAAAAGTAAGTTTAACAATTGAAGGTGATACTTTAATCACTATAATGACATCTCTTTCCAAAGTGTCTTAATGGGGGCAGTGTCATTGTCATGAATTTGGTCGTTTAAATGACTTTTATTGGGGTTTTAAGATCAAAGTCGGTTGCTTTGATTAGGCAAGGTTCACGAATTGCTTGTTCCCTCCCTTAATTATATAAAGTTAAGCGGCACACCACCAGAGTGGGATAGAGTAGTGCCAAACTTCTCACCTTAAAGTTAAAGATTTTTTATAATAAATTAATGGAGCACATAGATTGGTGAGCCAAAGACATTCTTTCATAAAGAGAGGTGCAGTGTTTGTAGTAGTTTTTGGGACAAAACAGTAGTATAATAGAATTATAATATTTTTTGACTGGATACTAATACCACCTTTTAAGTGGGTATTAAAATGGTTTTAATGGTACAAGTAAAGGGTATTAAAAATATATAGTTGGTATGCATAGTATTGGGTAACTTTTGACATCTAAATATTGTATAAGATGGGATTAAAGTCTTTTAATTTTATACAACTCTCTATTACTTTCTATAATACAGCAATCAAATGAGTTTTATCATTACTAGATGACTAATATTATTTTGACTTAAAATTTTAATTTAATTTGCTAATCTAAAGATATTATTTTATTGTAACTATTGAATTATCCACAGTTTCAACATTTAATAAACCCGTAATCCATTTAAGAATTGTAATGAGTGAGTTGAATAAATTAAGTTATAATAACTATACTCTTATTAAATAAATGAATTTGTGTTCTAAGCAAATTCTGATATTACCCATCCAACACTATCCCACATGATTCATTGACAATTGAGAAACACCCACGTGATCCATTGACAATCTAGATAAAGGTGCTATGAGAGGGTGTACAAATGGAAACTTTCAATGTATGTGGAGGGAGAGAGAGAGACTATCAATGTATGAGAGATATACTGATAGAGATTATTTGTCTCAGATATATTTTGGCTAAATTATATTTTATTCTCTTGAATTATTAATTTTGTTTCATTTTATACTCTTAATTATAATTTTTTTTATATTATAACCTAAAATATCAATTTTATTTCATATCAATCTAATAGATAATGTCTGTCAAATTTTTTACTGTAAACGTGCATGTGAGTGATCTGTACTGTCAATACACTACTCCCTATTACACATGTACAGGTTAAAAATCAAAAAAATATTCATTCTTGTTAATCTCCCAATTTTCTTCTTTTGTCCAATTTTTTTTTTCTTTTCAGCAATCACTTGATTGTTAAAGAGGTAAAATAAAATGGTTTTAGGCACTTGGTGGGAAGTTCTTTGGGTTTCGTTCTCTTGTTTGATAGATTGTCAGTTTTACAATTATCTATTAGAATAATATGAAATAAAATTAATATTTTTGGGCGTAATGTAAGAAATTTATAATTAAAAGTATAAAATAAAATAAAGATAATAGTTCAGGGAGGTAAAATGTAATTTACTCATATAATTCCCAAAGAAAAAGATGGAGGGAAGCCGACAAGAAAATAGGAATACGTCTCTTTTTTTGACAATTTTTCGCTTGGTTTTTCAACTTCATGGACTTGAACAATCCAACCAGAGCACGTTATTTTTACGTTTTTAACCGTAGCATTGTACCACATATTCCATAAGAATGTGATTAAAACTCACGCTTTTAATGTAAAAAACAAGTTTGCAAAACACACATTTTTAGTAGAAAACGTTGGAGCATGTTTTCACCATGTGCTTCTAAAGTGGAAAGTGTGAGCTTTTATTTTTTGAACCGAAAGGGCGTGAATTCAAATCAATTTTTTTTATATAAAAAGTACGATAGATTGAAAAATAAGTTATAAATTAATATATAAAGGAATGAAGTTTTTTGAAACAATTTTCTCCAATTAGACTTATGAGAAATTTAAATTTGCAAGGTTTAATTTTATGGTATATTGTACAAATTTTGAAGACTTTTGCCAAAAATTGATTATTTAAGAATTGGTCATTAAGTTTTAGAATTCAATTTTTTTAAAAAAAAATTCAATATAAAAATAAACTCAATTTTCAGTTGAAGTTATCACAATTTTTTACTAAATTAATTTTTTGTAAGAATCTAAACTAACATACCAACCTAAATTCCAACTCTAGTTTTGACAATTACAACCAAATCCATCGAACATAGTAAAATTTGATAAACTCGGTTCTATTACTAGTTTTTGAGACGCCCATAACCCATCCCTACTTCTCTATGCAAAAGAAACTAATATGTATCCAAATATAGAACGATGTGTTATCATAACATAAAATTATAAGAGCAATGTTACATGAATTTAAAAAATAGATTTAAAAATTAAATTTTATAATCTCAACCATTAATTTTACCGTGAATCTTAATATTTATTGAAATTCACTATCTATTCAATAATTGAGATTATTAAATCTAATTTTTAAATTCATCTACCGTTAAAGTTGGAATATTTTTTATGTCATCCATTCTCCTAAAACCTTCTGCAGACAGAATCCAAAGGACGGTTCAGAGTCAGAACACGAAGAACTGAAACTGTTATACATGTAGAGAGAGAAAGAGATTATTGCATAAACATAATTCCAATCAGCTCCCCCAGCTCTCTTTCTTCTTATCCAAGTACCCGTAAGTTCCCTCCCTTGTGTTATTACTCTTTTCTCTTTTTCTTATTATGGTTTAATACTATGCTTCTTATCTTAATAGAGAAAGCGTTATTTATCCGATGTAAAATAAGTATGAAGTCGTAGGCAGATCTAATTGTATTATTGTTATTGGAATGATTGATTAAGTTTTTGATTTTGATTGACCGCTGAAATTGAAAATTTGGACGACTGGGTTCGTGCCTGATCTGAGTTTTTGAGATTTGGACGGCTTAATTTGCTGTTTGGTGGTTCTTTTTAATGCCCGGTTGATTAAAAGCTTTGTTTTATCTAGTATTCCTAAGTGTTCTATGTTCTGGGTTGTTTTCTTTACCGATGAATTTGATTGTTTTGGAGGTTTTTAGGGGTTGTTCAGCTGAAGTTTATTGAAAGACTGGTTTTTTATTGATGCCCATTTGAATCGGGATCGGTTTTTGTCATAGACAGATGAGTGAGCTTTTTAGATAAGACTCGTAGAGTTAGGGTTTTCTCAAAATTCTCTATATTTGGGTTGCTGAGGTTTCCTTTGTTTATTGAAAATACATAGGCGTTTCTGGGTTTTCTTCTTTTACTGAAAAATTGATGACCAAGAGAAGGATCTAGATATTCTTCCTTTTTTGTTAACTGAATATGCATGGGTTTTTTCTGTATTTGGATAGGCTGTTTCTGTATTTTGACGAAGTTCTTGGGGGTTTTTTAGGCCTCAGTCACCGATTTTTTTGCAGTGGATTTTGGTTCAGTGAGGAAGAAAGAAGGATTTGGACGAGTTTAAGGTCATAAAAGTGGTGCTTTTTGGGGGTTGAATTCTGAAGAAATGTTGGAAGACCAGTCTAGCTTGGTTTCAACGGGCTACCCGAGGACCAAGAACTTTTGGGCGTGAAAGCAATGGGCTTGCGTGAATTACTGGCAAGAAAAATTGAGGATCAGAGTTCAATAGGCCATTACAAACTGATGTAGGGGGGGGTGTAGAAGTTGGTTTTAATCTAAGCAATTAGATCCTCGTGAAAGAGTAGAATTGGCTTTAACATTTCGTGAAATTTACATGGCTAACCAGCGTCATGCTGGTGATAATTCGGATTCAAGTTCCCTTATCCATGCCATTGGTCGGGACATCTCAATTTGCTGCCTCCTTCGATGCTCAAGATCTGATTATGGTGTTATTGCATCTTTGAATCAGAGTTTCCGATCGCTCATTCGGAGTGGTGAGCTCTATAGACTAAGACGACAATGTAGGGTAGTTGAGCATTGGGTTTACTTTTCTTGCCACCTGCTTGAATGGGAGGCTTTTGATCCCTATGGTGACCGTTGGATGCATTTACCAACAATGCCATCCAATGAATTGTTTTTATTTTCAGATAAGGAGTCTTTGGCAGTTGGCACCGAGCTTCTTGTATTTGGTAAAGAAATGATGTCTCAAGTCATCTACAGTTACAGTTTACTGACAAACACGTGGTCATCTGGGATGAGTATGAATGCACCAAGATGTTTGTTTGGGTCTGCCAGTCTTGGGGAGATTGCAATTTTAGCTGGTGGTTGTGATTTGCAGGGCAACATCCTCAGCTCAGCAGAGCTCTATAATTCGGAGAGTGGAACTTGGGAGACACTCCCAAGAATGATTAAACCACGGAAGATGTGTTCTGCGGTGTTCATGGATAAAAAATTTTATGTCATTGGAGGGATTGGAGGAAGAGAGTCAAAGATTCTCACTTGTGGGGAGGAATATAATTTGGATACAAGAACCTGGAGTGAAATCCCTAACATGTCCCCTGTGGGTGCAGCCAGAGAAGTTGGGATGCCTGCTACATCAGGGGCACCCCCTCTGGTCGCAGTTGTAAATAATGAGTTATATGCAGCTGGTTATGCTGACATGGAGGTGAGGAAGTATGACAAGGGTAACAGGAGATGGAAAACTGTTGGGAGGTTGCCTGAACGTGCTGATTCTATGAATGGTTGGGGTTTGGCATTTAGGGCATGTGGAGACCGGCTTATTGTTATTGGAGGACCTAGAACTATGGGTGAAGGGTTTATCGAAGTTAATTCATGGATCCCGAGTTCAGGTCCACCACAGTGGAACTTGCTTGGCTGGAAGAAATCTGGTAGCTTTGTCTATAATTGTGCTGTAATGGGATGCTGAAGACTTGTATTTTGGTGCCCTATGTGCACTGTAATGGTGCCCTGTGCTGAACTGGATCTATGACATTTCTTTCTCCGGAGACACATGATTTGCTAATTGGGTAAATTGTCCCAACTTTTTCCTCTTCTTATTTTCTTTTTTGAGTTGTTTTTGGTGGTTTGGGGGGGGCGGGGGGTTACTCAAGATTCAACAGAATGTTATCTTGAAGGTCTTAAGTACACTTTTTCAAACCTTTTGTGTGTGTTTTCTTCCATTGAATTTGTCTTCCCCCATTTTCAGTGACATGAGAAATTCTGAAATGTGAGTGTCATCAAGAGCAGGTTTTAATAACAAGGAGCAATACAATGATAGGTTGTCATTAAGTGTTGGCTGAAGCTTTTTCAAGAATCATAGGATTAGTTTCTGGGTTTTATGATTCGTAATTTTCTTGGAATTGTCCTGGAGAGAGAAAATAAGGCCGGCCAGTTTGTTCTTGGGACATGGCTTATGTACTGAATACATTTCTTGCTGCAAATGATGGGCTAAATGTTGGTCACTGCATTTCTCTTTTCTTTTCGTTGTTTTTAATGTCAAACCTTTGCTTCGATTCTAGTTGCACTTGCTACTTGTATGTGATGTTCTGACTGTTACTATGAAACAGGTTGCCATATTTCAAAAGCTCGGCTTGTTATTAGAGGTTCTTCTCTGAGTCGTGTTTTATATATGATTTTCATGTTTTCACATTTATGAGGGAGTATGTTTAATCATTAATACTGATACAATATACAACCTGGTAATCATGATGGCAGATGTTATAATTGAGTTGATATATTATAAATAGATGATCCCTTATTTGTTGACTTCATTAGATGTACTTCTGGAATGTTATATGAATGGCACATATATAGAGAAAATTTTCAGTTGTGATCTAGCTTCCTTTTTTCTTTTCTTTTTTGTCTTTTCATGGGTGTGTGTGTGTTATGGTGGTGTGAAAAAGGGGTTTGCAAAACTAATGACAAACCAAGACTTTAGTTGTAAAATTAGTGAAAAAACGTAGAGGGGAAAATATACCTGTGGTTTGGACATATTATGGCCCAAGTAACTGGAAAGAGGGTAGTTGTAGCAAGAGAAACAGGCTTTGAAGGCCTGAGGGTGCCACGAGCCTCAACTTTGGGTTAATAGACAAAGTGAAGGGAAGGCTTTTGGCAAACCTAACATGAAAGGAACTATTGCTGGATCAACTGGTTGACAAAATCAGCTAGATATGGAATGGAAGATGGGAATGATGCAGTGGCAACGAGTGATGTTTCATCTACGTGGTTTGCATTGTTTCTCATGTTTGGAGCAGAATGGTAAATCGGAAACTTAGAAACCTTTTCTTACTTCATGTGATAGGCTCATCATCATAAGGAAGTTCTGTGGCTTCTGTATATGTGTTCTTAATGCTCTACAAGATTCTCTTTAGTTTTGAGGTCGATATGTTTGAATTCTATACACACATGTATACGTGCAAGTAGAAGGGTATACTTAAATATTGTTTGTTCTGGAGTATCAGAGATAGTAGCCACAGACAAATACAAACATTATTTTCTTGAATTGTAAAAATTCTAGAGGAATTACAGTTAATTCTTTTCAAACCTCACCCTCAATCATCTTACCTTTCCCTTTTATTATGGAAGTCTGTGTCTGGTTGTGCATAGAAGTAAGACTAACAATGAGTCGAATAGAAGGGTCCATGAGTAAACATGGATCACTCGTGGTTTATTGACTCATCTGAATTGTCTAATTTGACAAATTTCTTGCCATTCTATGATGTGTCTAGGTGATGGCTGAATTATTGATTTGAGTTGATATCTCTTTCTTTTGAGGAATATTTTAGATCTTTAATAGATTATATTCCATTATTTAAATACGCTGCGGATTTTCACTGCTTATGATTTTCTATGGGATGAAGAATTGTGTTTTGTTTCACTAAAATTAGCCATATGGTCAATTATATCTATTGTTGGGAATGCTCATATTCTACAGCATATTATAATGCTGCCTGAAGTCTATTGACATTGTTTGTAAAGGCATATGAAACTTCTAGCCTTTTTAGTTAGACTGAAGAAGCTTCAAGGAATAGTATGCTTGCCTTCTGAAGTGTGACTCGAACACCTATGGCTTTTTGAATTTTTGTTCCCTCCTTTTCTTTGTAAAGGTATCCTTGCACAGATGAACAAAATTCAGGACACTTGTTTTCTTGTGACTGACTTTTATTTTTTTTGATATGGTATGAATTTTGTGTAGTATTGGTCATTCTTTTGAATATGTGTGAAAGGAAGTTTGCTGAAAGTTCTTTCTTAAGAAGTAATAGTTTATCTTCGTTGTTTGTGTCGTGGTAAGAATTGGGAGGAAGGGAAATACTGAAATCCTTCTTTTCTTCAGTTAAAAGGGGAAAAAGACATTGTAAGTCGACATTTTCCTTCACTTGCTTTGTTTGTTTCCTCCTAAGTATATCATTTTGTTTCCCCAAGTAGCAAATGGTCTCTAAGGTATTACTCTATTGCTTAACTTGTAATAGTGAAGCTTGAGAAAGTGCAATGACTGAAATCCTGTATAAGTAGAAAAGATTCAGAAGTCGAAACCTAAAAAACAATAAAAAAAAGTACAAAAAAAACAAACAGAAGGAAAGTAGAAGATTCAGAAAGCCCTATGCTATGGAAAAGATCAATCAGACGATGGTGAAAATCTGTTAGCAACTGCCTTGTCCTCTATGGAGTTGCTGACTGTGGGGCTTTAAGATCTTGGGGAATATTTGGATGAAGTTCCATTCTGGGATGGTTGGAGACCAGTCAGCTAAGAAGTTTCACACTAATGAGGCTTGTCACTCTGGTTGTTTGTTTGTTTGTTTGTTTGTGTGTGTGTGTGTGTGAGAGAGAGAGAGAGAGAGAGAGAGAGAGAGCATGCGAGCGTGAATGTGTGTAGGATAACTCTCTTTTCTCTTGTATATACAGATTTGTTTGGAATGTTAGGAAAACCAATGTAGTTTTTTTCTCGTGAATGTGTGTAGGATAACCAATGTAGTTTTTTTTTTTATCAGAAGAAGATCAATGTAGTTGAAAACATGAAGTTCACTTCAGATTAAGGCTTGTTGCATTGAATTGATTAAAACATTGCATTTTCATATCATACTTTATTTAGAAACATCGTACATTTTATTTAGAAAATCTAATTGTGAATATTTCAAACAAATAAATCAATTTTTGCTTGATAAGATGGATATTGATGATGCTTAGAAATAATAGCCCAAGCCCCTCAAATGAAATTGAGGGGATATTAGTGGCTTAGTTGAGTTGGAGGTCAATCTATGGAGAACAAAAGAACACAATGTGTAAGTGTGGTTCGCCTCAGCCATGAGAATAAGGTTACGTCCACTGTAAGGGAAACTCATACTCCTTGGAGATGTATATGATTCGAAGAGGTTACAACGGTCTACATTGGCTCAAGGCCTTTACAAGAATAGCGTTGCTTCTAGCTTGACTCACTGTGTTTTTGGACTACCAGAGCACAATGAAGGTCTCTCTTTTGCTCGATAATAGTGTCCTATTTATATAGTGACTCTTCCAAGGTTTTCTATTACTCCTTCTTTCTTTTTATTGATTTTGTGAGTCCTCTTGCCTCTGTCTTATAGCAACTACTGTTCATCCAACACTGCTGTGCATTTGATACTACTGTTCTCACAATACCTGGATGGTTATGCACACCAACTCCCTCCGCTCTAGAGAGTACGTGATTGTCGTCGTTGTCAGAAGTGGTTCCTTTGTTCTCAGGTGACGGGACGGGAGTGTTCTGAGATAGGCATTGGGTTAGACTACTGAGCTGTCCTTCGGGTGGGCTGAATTAGGACTAGGTTGGGCCTCAGGTCTTTTGGAATTATTGGACTTTATCCTTTGGATCCCGGACCGGCAGTTGGTGTTCCTGTTTGGGCCGTTATGTTGGTCAAGAGTTTCCTACACTTTATTGGGTTCTTGGACCATGGCGGCCCAAACCCAGGATCCTATCGTTATCAAATATAGTGCACTATAGGTTGGTTAGTACTTATTCGTACGAGCAATGGATTGAGGTTGAAGGCTAGGATCTTACATGCAGCAAAAGAAAGCTAAGACATCTCAACTTTTTGTATGTTGTGTGTGAATTAAGAACATTGCTGACTTATGATTTATTGTTGATAAATATTTTAAAGACATTATCTTTGATCTTAAATTACTAAATTAAATATCATACGTAAGTAGTTTTTTTTTTTACTTGTAATTTATGAGTCATTTACTTTATTCCTTTTGATTCACTTATTCTTTTCAAATTTTATTCAGAGTTATTTAAACGGTGACAAAATTCTCAAGATAATACATAATAATAGTTCATGTGTATTGCACCAACTCGTAATACAATGATAATACACCAACTCGTCACTTTAAAATGGGCGTTGGCTTGTGCAACATGATGGACTGATGTCTGTGGTTTGTAGCTTTTATTGTTTGGTTGACAGTTTCCGTAGAGTGCATAAAGAAGGAGGGCGGGGGATAGATTTAAAAAAATACTAATTAGAGTTTTGAAAATTTTAGTATATTGGTAGACCAACTAAATGAGAAACAGTGACACAATAGAAAAAAACAGTGACACAATGGAAAAAATACAATGACACAATAGAAAAAACAGTGACCACAAGGAAAAAAAATAGGGACACCATGGAAAAAACAGTGACATAATAGAACAAACAATGTAAAAAGAGTAATACGAGATGGACTTAAAAGTAGACTTAAAAATTAGACTTGATAATCTCAATCATTAAATAGATAGTGGATCCTAATAAATATTGGGACCTACAGTGAAATCAATGGTTGACATCGCCAAAGCGAGGGCTCCACCGCTTGAAGCATTGAGCTCATAGTCTCTTGATTAGGCACTACTGGGCCTGAGAAGTTTACACCAATGCCACCTTTCTCTACACCTTTAATAGAGAGAAAATGGGGGGGGGGGGG